ACAGTCGGTAGTGACAGTGAGAAAGCTACTTCTTCCACCTCCTCTTCTCCTCCTCAATGACTTCTTCTGTTGAGTTGTCCTATGAACCACTAGTCCCATTGGATTCAAATGTTCAAGACTTTTAAAGCTGCCTTAGACAGCAATCACAGAGGTATCATTCCACCGTTTCTTCCGTTCCTAGCAGACTGCTTCATCCATTCATCCACTGCTGTAGCTTGCCCTCATAAGGGAGAAGGAGAGTGAGGGGAGTGAACTGCAAAGTTCCTAGAAGACCGCTTCATCTAGTTATCAACTGCTGTAGCTTGCGCTCATAAGGGAGAAGGAGAGTGAGAGGAGAGAACTGCAAAGTTCCTAGAAGACCGCTTCATCTAGTTATCAACTGCTGTAGCTTGCGCTCATAAGGGAGAAGGAGAGTGAGAGGATTGAACTGCAAAGTTCCTAGAAGACCGCTTCATCTAGTTATCAACTGCTGTAGCTTGCGCTCATAAGGGAGAAGGAGAGTGAGAGGATGAACTGCAAAGTTCCTAGAAGACCGCTTCATCTAGTTATCAACTGCTGTAGCTTGCGCTCATAAGGGAGAAGGAGAGTGAGAGGATTGAACTGCAAAGTTCCTAGAAGACCGCTTCATCTAGTTATCAACTGCTGTAGCTTGCGCTCATAAGGGAGAAGGAGAGTGAGAGGAGAGAACTGCAAAGTTCCTAGAAGACCGCTTCATCTAGTTATCAACTGCTGTAGCTTGCGCTCATAAGGGAGAAGGAGAATGAGAGGATTGAACTGCAAAGTTCCTAGAAGACCGCTTCGTCTAGTTATCAACTGCTGTAGCTTGCACTCATAAGGGAGAAGGAGAATGAGAGGAGAGAACTGCAAAGTTCCTAGAAGACCGCTTCATCTAGTTATCAACTGCTGTAGCTTGCGCTCATAAGGGAGAAGGAGAATGAGAGGATTGAACTGCAAAGTTCCTAGAAGACCGCTTCATCTAGTTATCAACTGCTGTAGCTTGCACTCATAAGGGAGAAGGAGAGTGAGAGGAGAGAACTGCAAAGTTCCTAGAAGACCGCTTCATATAGTTATCAACTGTTGTAGCTTGCGCTCATTAGGAAGAAGAAGAATGAGAGGAGTGAACTGCAAAGTTCCTAGAAGACCGCTTCATCTAGTTAGCAACTGCTGTAGCTTGCCCTCGCGAGGGCAAAGGAGAGTCAGCAGAAAGAACTGCACAGTATGGACTGATGCATCTATGTTATCCATATGAAACGCTTTTTGCTGCACACTCACCTGGCAGCATTTATTGGTGGTGAATGTGCATTACATGTGGGTGGTGGATGAAGTTTGGACACTTTACTTTGGAGTACTTTGGAGTGCTACACTTTGGAGTACTACAGTATATTGTTTTCTGTTCAATATATTTTTTTGGTGACTTACGAGCACAAGCTACAGCAATGGATGAAGTAGTCTGCTGGGAATGGAAGACGTGGAGTGATACCTCTGTATTGCTGTCTAAGGCACTTTTGCTGTAATTTCATTAAGACTGCTTTTGGTGTGGGCGAGTTGGCAATTCATCAAACTAAACAGAATGAAGACTCTTATACCATCTGGTGTGGATGGGTACTACTCAGTGATTGGGGTACCAATTTAATCATCCACCAGCACAGACTCCAGTTGTTCAAGTGGAAATGTTGTTTGTTCTAATATTACATGTATAAAGAAGATTTTTTTAAATATTGCGAGTGTTGCAATTAATGTTCACTGTTCACTTTAAAGGTTTGCAAATAGTCTGTATTGCAAGCAGCTCACTTTTACTTTGAGTTGTAGCACTGGCTTTTTTACTTTTTTTTTTACTCAAGACTTGAAGTCATGGCTCAAGCAAAAAGATGCCAAGTAGTGCTGCAGCTGGTATGCTTACATGACAGGGGCTATGCTGAGGCAGACATTTTGCAAGCTCTACAGGGGCAGGCCCAGAGGGGGTTAACCTTTTGAGCAACTTGTGACAGGAATGGTACTTTGCTGCAAAGATATGGTACTCACCTGCTGTCTGCCCTCTGGAAGGGAAAGCTGACACGAGTTCCTTGTTTGGCACATGTCCTCAATCTGATGGTGCAACAGTTCCTGGATAGGTACCCTGGGTTACCTGGGGTTGAAGCAGTCCAGAAGAGTTTGTAGCCATTTCTGTCAGTCCTACCCAGCCATGTTCAGCTGAGTGAAATTCAGTGGGAATTCCATCTGCCAGCGAACCTGCTAATCTGTGGCATTGTGTGAGTATGACATGTGGACAGGTTCGGGCGAGATGAGTTACTGTTCCCCATGCCAGTGGCTCCAGATACAGAATATGCGTACTATATTGTTACCATTTAAGGAGGCGACAAGAATGATAAACTGAGACAAAGCGTGCACCAAGGACACTGTATACATTGTGTTCCTGCTGGAGCATACATTGCTTGGCATCATGAAGAGGGCACTTGAGGCAGAGCAGCAGAAGGAAGGCCTTCCTTTCATCTCAAGGCCCATTCTATCCAGAGTCTCTGTGATTTAAAATTGCAACTTGTTGCACTGTCCCCTTTGAATTAATATTACATATTGGTATAATATAAATCAGTTAACAGTGCAAAGAAAACTGTGAAAGCACAAAAATCTAATAAGCAAAATGCTCAACAGATTAAAACTGACTATTGCAAAAAGTTAAAGTGAAAACCATTCATTCATAAAACAACAAATAGTCTGTAAAAATCTGTGGAAGACTTGTGTGACAACGTTGCCAGTGATGATAGGTGTGAATGGTGAGATGTGCTCCAGTGCTCAATCTTCACCACCTGAATACTCTGTTTACCAGAGATATAGACCTCAAAGTTAGGACCAGCTATAGCCAGAACAGGAAAAGCCTCTGCCACTCAAGACCAAATCCAATAAACAGGAAAGAACAGAGGGGATCTCATAGTGTAGTATAAATTAACATAATTAACTGTAAAAAGAAAGGTATTCACAGAGACAGCATGTACTGTTTGAATGACACTGTTCTTTTTTGGTTGAATTGCAGTCCATCATCAATAAAAATTGACATTGCATTATGTTTTCGAATACACACTCTTTAAAATAGCGTGGCCTAACAGTGATTTCTTACATGAAAACCAGTTGATCATACTCTTTCCTCTGAAATTATGGCCTATAAAATGAAATATGTGCAGATTATTCATCAAAACATTTTCCTCCTTTCTCCCAGGTAAAATACAATGTCATTTTTGGATTTACAAATACAGTCTGCCTGCTCTCTCCTTCTCAAATTGCCTCTGATGAGAACTATTTACATTCTGTGCAGAAAATTGATATATCTAGATTTCATATCAGAAGGATAACAGTCCAAATGACTGTTGCAGGATATAAAATTACATCTCTCTCTGTCCTGAATTGCCTTCTCTCAAAAAGTGGTTTGTCAGCTGTAGTGCTTATCTGTATACTATTTTCATAATCGGTGTTCAAAAAAAGACAGTAATATTTTTTTTCTTATTTATAGATGCAAAGTGCATGTTCAATTGCTCATAAATTGCAGCCTGTCCATACAGGCTTAATAACTGTGGTGAAAAACTGTCAAAATGTATCCTTTTTAAATCTTGAAGAGATGATACAGTTTTTAGATTTCAAGGTGCAATCTGATTTCTCTCTTGGGTTTCAAAAATTGCAGCCTATGTGATAAAGGCTTAAAAGGTATCCTTAAAATTGTTCAATTTGTGGTCTTTGAACTTAAAAAATAGCTCTAAATTGTCTTTGCTTAATGTAATCTGCCTGCTCTCTACCTCTAGAATAGGGAAATAGAAAAAAGGCTTCAATAAGTCGACATCAAATGTTTACAATTGTTTAGTTTTACGGTCTGAGCAAAAATGACATTGTTATTTGTTTAGTGCAGATCAGATCTCCCTCTGACATAGATTCTTTACAAATAAGCAGTACATATTGTCCAGCTAGTCAGTTCAGTTTTTCTGGCTTGTTCATCTAAAAAAACACACTTTATTTTTAGAGGATTGAACTTGCAAAAGCCTCTCCATCTTGCATTGAGGCCTAGTAAAACACTTACATGTTGTGCTGCATGTCCATATAATACAGTATATCTGGTGAATTTAACTTGAGTATGTTAGAGTCATCACTAATTGTAATACTAATACACTGTTTAATGGGTTTCTTGTGCTTTTCTACAATACTTTATCTGTGTAAACAGTTATATCAGCAGGACATACATTTTGGGAAGGAGTCGGGCACTGGAAAGTGATGGTTACTATATAGCCCTGCACACACAGTTACAATGCTGAGCCCAGCTATAGGCAGTCCTGACTTTGCCCCAGATTAATATTTTTGTTTGCCCCCCAGGGTTAATTATTTTAGTTGATACCTCACTGACAACAGTTTAGATTCAAAAACCTCTTCTGCATATGGGTCTCAAAACACATACAACAGATGGCAGATCCCCCTCTGGATAAATGGAGACATGCAACTAATGCATTTTTTCTTTAACCAAACATGAACATCTAAGTGCTGGAAAAAGCCATCTGGGAGACATAAAAGGTGTTCTCTCCATGTGAAAAAGCTAAATGCAGGAGTGCCAGTGTGCACAAGGGCTTAAATAATAATAATTACAGAGTTGCATTAATTTGTAAATTAATTTTATATCTGCATAAAAAAAAACTGCCCAAGCCTTCTGAAAACAAAGAAAAAAAAATCTCTGGCTGCAACACTTATATCTGCAGTGTTGTTCTCCACAGCCTCACTGCTTCAAGGTCCAGCACCGCTTCTCTTCCAGGTCAAATGACACTTAGAACCATGCCATTGTGACGCATAACACTTTCTAAAATTTTTGATAGCTGCAGTAAATTACAATTAATGCAAATACCTACATTTTACTTGGTATCAGCTACTTGCATTCTACTGCACAGAAAATTTTAGTCCGGGAGAGGGAGAAACAGGATAAGGAGCAAGTCAGTGCTTCGGTGTTCACAAGCAGACTGCATGCCAACAGTAGTAGAGAACAGAGCAGGGGCGGACTGACCATTCAGAAACTCGGGCAGTGCCCAAGGGCCCGGGGTCAATAAGGGGCCCCATGACATGCCCCTGGTACCTTTTATAGGCTTTTTTGGGTGTGGTTTGAGTGTGCACGAGGACACAGGGGCCCCATGATCCCCTATTGCCTGGGGGCCCGGAGTTGTCAGTCCACCCCTGGAACAGAGTGAGAGATTTGAGCTCATTACTTTGCTGCTTCTCTTTCACTATCTAATCACAGGCTGAAGGTTAAGTGTTACCTAACTGCAATAGAGAAGAAATCAGGTCACCTGCCCTGCCATAACTAGATGAACAGAAACACAAATCCTCTGACAGGTAAAATATCTCCTTTATATGTCTTTTATGCGTATTTAGCGGTTTGCCTGGAGTTCAGTTTTAAAACAGAAAAACATTTTGGCAATTTAGACAGAAAAATGACAAAATAAAAACTCCTTTTTGATGATCCTTATAAATAAGTCTCATATTCTGTTTAAATGTGCATTATTTAATTAAGTAACCAATCAAGACTACTTCATTCTGACTTACAGAAATATGGAGAAAGCATGAAAGGAAAAGTCTTTGTGTGGCAATTTTGTGTTAGATGCAAATCACAGGAGAAACAACAAACAGCTACTAAATATAGATTAGACTTCATAATTGTGCCCTGTTAATTACCTGGTAAAATGAAGGCATATGAAATGGAAAAGTCACTACATTACTGTCCAACTCATAACCCAGAAAGCTGACTGCTTGCCATCGCTCCCAGAAGATGCTTTAAATGTACCACTGAAAAGTGGCAAACGGTGATTAATTACTGGCTTAAAAACCAATTTGCTTTAAATAGTGCTAACATTTTGAATTTCATTTCTTTCACACTTATTGTGTTGGAAGGCAGCTCTTATCTGCTAACATAGCAAATATTTTTCCCTCTTCGCACTTGGCATTTGACTCTCGAATCTACGGTATGTTTTATCTTTGTCCTCAGAAAAAATAAACTGGTACGGTCATATATTTCCAACGTACAGGTTCTTCAACATTCTCTTGAAACTACATAATAAAATATGAAGACAGCCATGAGTAAATGACTTTGCTACAAAGCAGTCCATAAGCAAGCAAAGCTGCACTGCATTCATATTTTACAAGGTAAATGCCAGCTTACCATATCTTTAGGCTCATACTCCATCTTCAATCAAAGGTCATTTGCATCAACTTATTGCTTGCTGGTAAATGAAAGATTGTGTATATTAAATGGCCATGGAAATAGCACATTTATTGCATATGGCAATTATATTTAATGTAACAGCTGATCCGTTTAATGGTAAAAAAAAAGCATGCTACTCAAAATCCAGTGGAGCAAGTGAGAGGTCTGGTGTGTTAGCATTACTTTGGGATATTATTCTCACTGGAAAAATTATAGTAGTCTGTATAGAGAAAAGTATACCTTTCCACATGGAAGAAAAATATATTTGAAATATATTTTAAAAATATTCTTCCCAAATATATTGCCATATACAATTTTGTCCATATTCAATATATTTCAAAACATATTTCAGTGTATATATATATATATATATATATATATATATATATATATATATATACAGTGGTGTTCAAAATAATAGCAGTCAGACATCATTAACCTGATCAATCACTGTTTTTGGCAGAAATTATATTTCTACTTGGCAAATAATTTACTAGCAGGTGTAGTAGAGTAATATAAATCCAACAGACCCAACAGTCATGACATGCATGCTGCTGATTCTGTGTAATTGAATCACTAATTGAAAGGGGCATGTTCAAAATAATAGCAGTGTGTGGAGTTCTATTAGTGAGGTCATTCATTCTTTGAAAAACAGGTGGCAATTATTGCCCTTATTTAAGGAAGGAAGGCAGCAAATGTTGTACATGCTGGTTACAGTGCATTTCTCTCTGAAATTCTGAGGAAAATGGGTCGTTCCAGACATTGTTCAGAAGAACAGCGTACCTTGATTAAAAAGTTGATTGGAGAGGGGAAAACATATAAAGAAGTGCAGAAAATGATAGGATGCTCAGCTAAAATGATCGCAAATGCTTTAAAATGGCAACTAAAACCTGAAAGACGTGGAAGAAAGTGAAAAACTACCATTCAAATGGATAGAAGAATAACCAAAATGGCAAGGACTCAGCCAACAATCAGTTCCAGGAAGATCAAAGAAGGTCTAAAGTTACCTGTGAGTACTGTTACAATTAGAAGACGCCTATGTGAAGCCAAGCTATCTGCAAGAAGCCCCCGCAAAGTCCCACTGTTGAAAAAAAGACGTGCTGAAGCGGTTACAATTTGCCAAAGAGCACATTGACTGGCCTAAAGAGAAATGGCGCAACATTTTGTGGACTGATGAAAGTAAGATTGTTCTTTTTGGGTCTAGTGGCCGGAGACAGTTTGTCAGACGACCCCCAAACACTGAATTCAAGCCACAGTACACTGTGAAGACAGTGAAGCTTGGTTGCGCAAGCATCATGATATGGGGATGTTTCTCATACTACGGTGTTGGGCCTATTTATCGCATACCAGGGATCATGGATCAGTTTGAATACATCAGAATACTTGAAGAGGTCATGCTGCCTTATGCTGAAGAGGAAATGCCCTTGAAATGGGTGTTCCAACAAGACAACGACCCCAAACACACCAGTAAACGTGCAACATCTTGGTTCCCAGACCAACAAGATTGACGTTATGGAGTGGCCAGCCCAATCCCCGGATCTTAATCCAATAGAAAACTTGTGGGGTGACATCAAAAATGCAGTTTCTGAGGCAAAACCAAGAAATAGAGAAGAACTGTGGAATGTAGTCCAATCATCCTGGGCTGGAATACCTGTTCACAGGTGCCAGAAGTTGGTTGACTCCATGCAACACAGATGTACAGCAGTTCTCAGAAACAGTGCTTATACAACTAAATATTTATTAAGTGATTCAAAGGAAAGCAAAATCTTCAAACATTGTTCAGTTTTATATAGTGAATGTTTGAGTTTGTAAAGAAGAATACAAACACTGCTATTTTTTTGAACAGTCTAATCACTTTTCTTCAATTTTTTTAGAGGAACAACACAAATGTGATATATTTTTCTTCATGTTTTGATTTGGAATAGAATGTGTAGTGTTCCCAATGCATTTGTGTGTATGGAAATAAAAGCTATTAGAAGGATTTTGAGCTTTATTCACTTTTTTTCAACACACACTGCTATTATTTTGAACACAACTGTATATACTGCATGTTGAAATGCGTTTTTATTACAAAATATATGAAAAATATTTTTAAAAATACATTTCAAATATACTGCATGTCTTTAAAAATACAAAGCTACATTTTTGGAATGCATTTACAAATATATGTAAAAAATATATGTTAAAATGACTTTTTTATATGTTAAAAAAAATCTGAAGAATATATTTGAAAAATATATATTTTTAAAATATATTGAATAAGGCCAAAATTGTAGCTTTTCAAATATATGGCAATATATTTGGGAAGAATATTTTTTAAATATATTTCAAATATATTTTTTCTTCCATATGTGTTATGGCGCCGCTCCAAGCTGTGGGATGGAAGGAAAAAGATCACCCCATTGGCAAGTGAGAAAAGGGGAGCATGAGTCTGAGCGATTCCAGTCAATACAAGTGTAGGGATGGACGCTGCTCAACTGACCCAGGAATCCAATGTTGAGGAATGGCCTCAGCTGCCGTTCTGGCCATGCCTATTTACGCATTTCGTCCCGCCTATCGGGGCTTGGTCACATAGGTCCTCTGTGACCAAGCCCTGGTGGACGAGGTGAAACGCATCAGTAGGAATGCCCAGAACAGCGGCTGAGGCCATTCCATAACATTGGACTCCGGGTGTTGGTTGAGAAAAGTCTGCATAAAGAATTTACACTCAGAATAATGCTCAGAAATGTCACATAAGATGAGCTTGTGTTAAAGCTAGGTATTTTTTTCAGTGTAGTCAAAATTATGTTGCTTACGGCTAAAATTTATGTATGAATTTTATTGCATAGTTACATTGATCCAGCTTGGACCAATGTAAGTATGCATATCTTCTATATGAGTGATCCCTGTGGAAGCAGCTACTGTCGTGCTGGCAGCTATCTTCTATCTAGTTCCAAGCAGCTGTCCATCTGCATAGTATCCACAGGGGGTCACTCTCTCCACATTGCAGCCATTCACAGAATACTTTATATTTTTCGATGAATGCAAGGCATTTTTCTGATTGGATGAGGTGGAGACCATGACATCACTGTCCCACCTCTCCACCTTGTTCAGAGAACGTGTTATATTAATTGAAAATTCAGGGCATTCTGTGAATGGCAGCAGTGCTGAGCAAGCATCCTCATGTGGTCACTATGCAGAAGTGCAGCCTCTTTGCCGTGGACCCAGAAGACTGCTGTTATTGATGTAATAGTGACAACTGCTAACGTGATTTGCTTTCACAGGAATCACTCAGGTATGAGATATGCCTGCTTACATTTATCCTTTCTGGACCAATGTAACTATGCAGTAAACTTCATACCTAAACTCCTGTTTGAATTAAAAATGCAGGTTTTGCTTTCTCAAAGGCTCACAGCACCTGTCTTCTTCCAGGTTAGCCTACTTCATGTGAGCCTGTAGCATTATAGACAAATACTGCAGAGTTGCATCATCACATTGCCCCGGGTTCACATAATGTTGCTAGCAACTGCCCACCATTGGAAAAGGGGTGAAAAGGAAGAGGACCCCACATGTCATGTAACCAATCAGAAGACATCTAAACAAAGGTATATTTAAACAAAATTCAATAAGTTCATTGTATGACTCAATAAACTGCAAAGTGTTACTACACAACAGGTACTGCACCTCTAAAGCCATTATGGCAATGCTAAAACTTAAGATATTTTTAAAAGTTGAACATTTTCAAATAAAAAAAAAATTGTATTTAGAGAAACAGTTTTACTTGTTGGGGGAGTTGCATATAGACGAGACAAATGAGATGAAGCTCTGCTGACTTCCATCACCCAATCATGTGCAAGCAAAAATGCAGTTTTTTTTTATTTCCTTGCATGTGATTTGGTATTTTTGCATCTCATTTACTATTGCATGTATTGGAAAAATTGTACTGTGAATTGTTGGGTATCAGTAGGCACAGTTTGAATGAAAAAATTCCCAGACATCAAAAAATG